GAGGAAAAAAACAGTTCCTATCAAATTACAAAAAGGAATTAGCTGAATTTATGCCCTGTGCAAATTGCAGAAATAATGCAAATTTGTTTGCTGCTTGTAGACCCTTTAATACTGTATCAACAGATGTTTATAGCAACTAGACAGGAGTTATAAGAGCAGTTATAACTCAAAAAAATGTTCTGCCCTAAACTTCTCATTGTATCACTGTGCACAGAGTACTTCAGGCCTAATGACTGATTCTTCATCACCAACTTTAAGAGACAACTAAAGAGTAGAGGCTGCTTAGGATAACGTTGCTGGTCACTCCTCACAACACAAGCTCAGTCCAACCCATTTCTCCCATTAAGTTGATAAGGGTATCTCAGGAGCTGCACCACACCAGACCCAACAAACACCACTTGAGCTTAATTCCCTGAGTTCTCTGTAATATTTGTTACATCTTTTTATTTTTTGCCAATATGAAGACCTCCTGATGCTCACTATAAGATCAGAAAGATCTCTTGGATGTTATTTTGTACAACATGGGAAGCAAAGTAGATTTTCAGTCATTTCTGAAAAGTGGTAGGGTAACCTTAAACTCCCTTCTCAATGAATAAGCTTTCAGTACAACAAAGCAGCTTGGAAATTGTTTTTCCAGCAGTCAGTAACACAGAAGTGTCAGTTTTTAAATTACAAACAATTAGAATTTCTCTGGAACAGAGTATTTTGTGTATATTGACATATGCAAGCATATATGAGTGAATCCCATTTATTCATGACTTTACTTTGATATCATTGGCAAACTTGTTTGAAATCATCCCATATACAGCTGCTGAGAATTCCTACTTCCAAAGCCTGATTTCATCGTGCAGAATATTAGAGAAAAGTCGGCTCCAGAGAGGTGAGGAAGTAAGAAATGCTCTACCTGGTCCTAATATGAAGCCCACTGCTTGGCAGGCACTGGTATTGGCCATGGCACTTGTTCTTTCTGTAAGAGAAGTGGCACCCGCAATGTATGACCGAACCACAGCCACGTTTCCTTAAAAAACAGAAACAAATGACAAGGAAGTGTTCAAGTCAATTCTAAGTTGCATTCTTAAATTCTCCAGTTATATTTTCTTATTTGACAAGAAAATAATACTCATTTACAACTACGCAATTACAGGATTTCACAATAAACAATAAACACATCTATTAATTTTCAGAAATGTAAGTTTAGCAGTAATTACCTGCTCCAAATCCCACAAGAGCACGTGCAGTAAGCATGTAGTATTTGTTGTGTGAATGAGGTACGTGAACATAGGCATAAAGACAATTAGCAGCTACTGAAATTGCAGTTGAAATAACAAGAGGTTCTCTCCTTGGTCTGTAGTTGGACCATAAACCAAACAGAGGAGAGGCAGCCATTTGGCCAATGCTGTACGAAGCTATAATCCACCCCAAGAAACTTGCATCTGCTGTCGGATCGATCTGCAAAAACAAACGAAGCAGCTGTATAGGGAAAGTATTAACTCTTTTTACAACATCAACAAAACCATTTTAGATTCTTGAACTTCCTAGTACTTGAAACACCTGACTCTGCACTGTAATTCTGAGTGCATATGCAGTATTACCATGCAGTAACAGTGTGCAACATGAGCTACCACCGAACACGTTAGCACGTTGGCACGGCACTGTGCAGCATTACATAAACACACTACACTGGGCCTCAGAAGCAGTTGCTTTTGCACAGCACTTTGTATGGGCAATAAAGCTTTGCTAACTGTCTCAGTCAGGGCACCAAACCGACAGCAAGCGCTCTCTTTCTGAGATGGAAGTGGCTCATCTGCAGTGAATTAAACTATTCCTCATACAGCACCATTAACGTCACAGGCTACAGACCTAATTAAGCAATAGGGTAGAGTTCACAGGCTAGGAGCAAAGAATCACTTAAGTCACCTCTGCACATGCCTGAATCTGTCCTGATTTACAAGGCTGATGATGCATTTTCTTTTCTTCTCCAACACAGCACCAGCCTCAATTTTTAACAGTATCTCTAACATTCTGCCCAGGATATGTTCTTCCAAATTTGCATCTGGAACAGTCTTCTACAATTGCATGAGAAGTACAATCCTAGCATAAATTAAAATAAAATTTTAGAGGCCTTTTACATTGCTTTTGACAAGAATGCAACAAAAAAATAAAACTCTCTCTAGGAACACAAGAAATTTCCCATTACCACTATCAAGGTCTATGTGTAACAATCCAAAACAGAAAGAAGAGTTTCTAGATTCAGCTTCCTTTTGTTCAAAATGCAAACAAGTACTACATATTGTGCTTTAACTCTACAAATGTATTCAGATCTATAGATTTCAATTGACTCATTGTTCAACAGTGAAATAATATTGGAAAACCAAACATCTTGGGATTATGATGTACCTTCCTCAATTCAATCAACTGACAGATTTTATACAACAGTATAAGCAATCTGAGGATGGCAAAATAAAAGTCTCAATAGAACACAAATTTCCTCTTGCTGCACCTCTGTATAACACTACATAATTTCTGAGCAGAAGTTCTGTCCTCTTATTAATTCAAAAACATTAATATTTACAAACCTTTTGGAGATATGGCCATACAGACATAATTACAATTGAGAAACCTGCAATGCAGTAAAAACACAACTGAAGTTACTTTGTTTGCCATGCCTATTAGTAATTCAGTTTACTGAAACAACTACTGTGGGTTCATTCTTCTGCTCCTAAGTCTGCTATGGCTTAAAACTCAGTCTGCCACCTCAAAAAACTACGCGTTATGTGCTTGCTTAAAGAGCAGTCATTCTTCTGGAAAAGAAGGCCTATTTTTAAAAAGGATGTAATACAGTTGCATACGTGCTAAGCAAAAAACTCCAATGAAAAGAATACAGATGCACAAACAAACTGGACAGCATTTTTCCTCTCAGTGGAAAGACAACAAGGTCTCTGAGTAAAAAGAATGTCTTGATACACAGATATATTTGTATTAAAGAATTTTTAATACATCAAATGAAAAAACAGCAAACAAAACCCCTCTGAAATATCTCATAATCCTCCATTTATTTTCTAGGCCCCCAGAAAGTTGCTGGACGGCAAAAATCAACAGAACTGTCACTTGGAGAGGCAGCTGTTTAGGACTGGAACTGGAACTTTTTCTGCAGTGGAGATGCAAAGTCCCTTAAGAGAAAACAAGCTTTGGTGTGTTCTTTGAAATAGATAACACACATTCTCACAAAGATATTATCTCCAAAGGGCCAAGCTTCTACTTTCATTTCCTGAAAGTTTTACTTTGGACACTCTTTATAAAAGTGTGACCTCTCCTTGGCTTGTTTCTATGTCACAACCACTACCTTCTACCATTTCCCCAGACTACTTCAAACCCAATGAAACAAAGATTTAGATAAAATGTCATTTATTCTCAAAGCACCGCCATATTCATTTTACTAAAAGTGAACTTCTGTTTGATTTGCAAGCCTTATCTTCTTTTTTGAAGAAAAAAAAACCCAGAATGCACATTTCTATGGGCACAAAAGTTAAAGGAGTTAAATGTTAAAGGAGTTAAGTAATTAAAATCTGAAAACCCTGTCATTTTCACATCTAAATGTATCCACTAAGCAAAGAGCACTGAAATCCATCCATGATTACTCACCTACACTACTGAGAAACATAGTCAGATACATGATCCAGATAGACCTCCACCTGCTCTTGTAATGCTCCTGCGTTTCCACGACATCTCTGGTTTGTGAGGGCAAAAGAGAAAGAAATCACAATCACGTCCTCTCAGGACACTGTGAACACTTTCCACGCACACGGCACAGGACAACTGCACGAAGCGCTTTAACTCCCATGCAGCAAAGGACTTCTACATAGAAGACAACACTATTTTAGAAGCAGGCTCAAAAATACCACATTGAAAGACGTAAAAATTAATAGATATAGGATAATAAAAATATGATAACACATGTGATTGTATTGTATTATAACGAAAAGGAAACAAAAAAAAGAAATAGAAACGTACCACCAGGTACCACCGCATTCACAAGTGTTGCACTAGGAGAAGCTCATCGAGAGAGATCTCGATACAATCTCTGCGTCTGGAGCATCACAGATTTCACATACACGCTTCAACAACCACGTATGAAGCCACAAAACCCCAGGCACCTCCCAGAGCCGTGACTAAAGCAAACAAACCAAAACCTCTGACCAACCGCTGCCTACGCTCAGCGTCGCAGCAAGTCTAGTTTTACTGCTAGCGAAAGGAAAGAACGACAGATGGTGCCCACACAGCAAAGGCGCTGTGAGGGAAAGCCGCAGCGGCGGGCTGCCGGGCGAAACCTCACTGCCGTTCGCTCGCTGAGGCCCGACCCGGACCGACTCGCGGGACGGAGGGCCGCGCCGCCGAGGGCAGCCGCCGGCTCCGGGGAGCCGGGAGCGACGCCGGCCGCCTGTTGCCGCGGCGCCTTCCGCCTGGCCCGAGCGGCCCGTACCTGCCCCGCCTTCGCCGTTGCTGCTGCTGCTGCTGCTCCTGCTCCTCCTCTCCAGCCCTCAGCAAAGGCTCCCGCCCCTCAGCGGCCGCCATACCGAGCTCCGTCCGCTTCCGAGCCCCGCGCCGCCGGGATCCTCGGGGATCCGCCTCCCACTCCTCCAGGCCCGACGCCAGAGGGCGCGCGCCGCGGGAAGAACCGCCTCACGCCCGGTGCCCGCCGGGCGCCTGCGCGCTCCGCCTACCCCGACTCGATCCATCCCTCCCCACGCGGTGCCCAACGGATGCGGGAGGAGCGCCAGGAGCGCCGTGCCGTCGGGTGAGTGACCTTCCCGCGTAGGGGACGAGCATGGGGAAGCTGGCGGTTTGCACGCTGCGGGCGTCCGAGAGGCCGTGAGGTGCGCGCTTCCCCGCCGCACCTCAGGGCGAGCTGCCTCCTCGCCACGCCTCGCCTCAGGGCGAGCTGCCTCCTCGCCGCGCCGAGCGCCGCTCCCGCTCGTGGACTTTGAGCCGCCGGGTGGTGGTGGGCGCCTGCGGGCCGCCTTTCGTCGGACCCCGCGTGTGGGCTGAACGAAGCGGTGCAGGCAGCGGAGCCTCCTGGCTTAGGCCGCTATGTTTATCTCGCGCTGTTCTGCCTCCAGGCTGGTGAGATCTCTGTGTGGCTCGTTTGTGACTCGTCGTGAGGAATTCTTCGTTTATTGTTCTTGAAGGCGTTTTTCTGCTGTTGGGGGGGAGCGTGATCTTAGTTGGAAGAGAGAATTTTGTTTATTTATTGAAGTAACACCGCCGGGAAAAGTTCAGGGCTCCCTGTAAGCCTTTCAGAAATGAATCTAGCCTGTAGTTTTATAGATAGTCTATCTAGGATTTCTTGTTGCTTTCTTTGTGAGATAATGTTCTAAAATGAAAGGATATTTTAGCAGGCCGCTTATTAACGTGTCTGTATCTCTGTTTCTGTATTTCAGTTTCGAAATACAGTTCTGTGAAGCTTCCTGTGTAAGCCGTGCACTGGCTGTATGCTCAGAACACAGCTGCTGGCTCTTGGCCTGCAGAACTGTGCAGCATCTTCCTCAGGTCGTGATTTCCAACTGAAGTGACTTTCAAAGGGATCTTGTTGCCCCCTCCCTGGAAGCATTCAAGGCCAGGCTGGATGGGGCTGTGAGCAAACTGGTCTATGGGAAGTGTCCCTGCCTGTGGCAGGGGTTTGGAACTAGATGGTCTTAAAGGTCCCTTCCAGCCCAAACCATTCTGTGATTCTATGGTTGTTTCTTCGAGCTTAAGCTCTGCAGTAATAAATCTTTAGCCACATCAATAGCATTTGCCACTTGTGACAGGAGAGGTATTTGCATTCCTCTTTCCCTGTAGACATCGATGGGCAGTGGCTGAAGTTTTGTCCCACCCATTGTTTACTCTCATAAACAAATAGGGGATTCCTATTGTATTTCAGTGATATTTCTGAGGAGTTCCATACAGCGTTCTTTACACCCTTTGAATTGTTCTTGCGGTGTTTTCTGCACTCTTTCCAGTAGTAGCTTAGTCTTGAAGTGTTCTTATTGAAATCTCCTGAATTACTTATGTGACTCCATTTAATCAATGAAGTAGAATAAAGAATGAAACAACCCATTCATCTCAGCCAATGTTCCGTTTGAATGTAATGTATTTTTCTAGGAACCTTGGCACTCCTTTATTGTAACAGAGAGCTCATGCCAGCGTCTGAACTCATGGCTAAATCCTCCTCGTCATTTTTTCCTGGCTTTTATTATGGAAAGAATTTAAAAATCTCCAGGCTGCTTTGCAAGACTTCAAAGCATTCATTCAAACTTCTTTCACGATTGCTGGTGAGCAGTGCAGTGATGTAACTGCTATTCTAGGGTTAGCGCATCTCGCAGATTGTTCTGCATGTATTACTCAGGCCCATTCTTCCCAGCCTGCAGAATGCTCTCTCAGGCCAGCTGCCCCCTGATTTCCCCCAGCGTCAGGAACATCCCAAGCTGTCTCCCTGCTCCAAGCAGCAGAGGTGCCCTGTGGAGGCTGACATCCCTACAGCACATGGGGTGGTTGTCTCCATAGCCATAGAATCATAGAATGGCTTGGTTTGGAAGAGATCCCAAGGATCGTCAAATTCGAACCCCCCTTTGCTAGTATATCATTACAGTATATTGCTGGTCACCTCCAAAGCTGAGCTACTGCTTCCCGTTTCTTGCAGTGCTTCTGATAGCAGGTTTGCTGTGCTTTGGCAGATTCTGCCAGGAGCGAGATGGTGGTCTTTGGGATCTTTTCTCAGGAAAGCTTGAATTGAAGACCGTGAGCGGAAACTTTTTTTTCTGAGAAGCATACACAAGGTTGTGGGGTGCTAGTTTTCCTTTGGTTTTCTGGTACCAGGAAATACTGTGTGAAAAAGAGCAGGAAGACTGGGCAAGGTCTTCATTACTTCATTACGATCAAAAGGTGGCTAGACTTTTAAGAACCAATTTTCAGTGGTTTCTTTCAGTTGAGAAGAAGATAGCTGTACACAGATCTCTTTGTAAAAAGCTTGGTTTTGGTAGCGTGTCTATGGTGGAAGATTCTTCTCTGTCTTTCCCTACCTACCTGTTTTGACACCAAAATACATGACTTGAGGTTGATACCAGCTACCAGTGCTTGTGTTGTTGTATTTATGTTATTTATGTTGGTTCGTAGCTTATATTGCATGACTTAATATTCCCTTGTTCGGGAGTTTCTCATGCGTGTATTTCAGTACCAAAGTAATTTATTCTTCTAGAGCAGGCAGATATGAATCAGCTATTTGAGATACGCTGGTAGAGTAACACCTAATGCTTTCTGCAGTGTTAAAATAAAAGTTTCTGGTGATAGTATGTTTTTATTTCTGTCATATAATGACAGAATATGACTTTATGGGTTGCTTGTTTTAGCTCTAGCCTATTCAATTTTGTTATTAACTTTTGATAAGCATTAAAGGTTTTTTTTTTGCTTATTTTTTTGGTATCTTGAGTCTTAATGATGTATTAAGTATTGATTATTTGTTTTTAGGAGAGCAAAGGAATGTATTAATCTAACAACATTTTGAACTCATTACATTCAGACAAGTTCAGAATGACCATTTTAAAATGCAGTCGAATAAATTTAATTGGAATCAGCATGAGAAGCATGAACGAAATCACATTTTTGGGGGGTGTTGTGAAGTTATTCAGGCCTTTTACTATAGAGGCATCTAATTACAGGGTAGGGTAGGTGAAGGCAACTTATTAACCAAGTCTTTTATTATTATATTTTTTTGTTGTCTTAGGTGTAGGGCAGACTCTGGACCTCATTTTCATTGAATAACCCGTATCCTGCCGATCAAGAAACCAGATTGTTCTTGTTTGTTTGTTTTCCTTCCTTATTGGAAGAGCACGGTAGTGACTTCAAGCTCTCTTCAGTAAGTATTGCTTTGAAAGTAAGACAGAGTTGGCCTAAAGCCTTGTTGGCTTTAGTTGTATTTGAGCTAATGCATTCTCTGCGTAAAAAAAATGATGCTGGTGAAAGGATTCTGATGGTGTGTTTTGTTTTTTTTCAATTCTTTTGTTCTCTGAAGGTAGTGAGAGCTTTGTTTTCAAAATCATAAGAAATGAGTTGGGGAAAATTGGAAAGGAAGGGTTAAAAGAAGAGGTTTCCATTCTGAGACGCACTGATGGAAATTTGGATTGAAAAATATTTACCTTTATTGCTATATTGACAGAGGGCAGATATCAATGCTTTTCTTCTTATTGGTCTAAGTAAAATACGCTTAGAACAGGCTGGAGATGTAATACTGTGACCTCATGTGCTTCTTCTGTAATCTTTTCATTGATAATGTGATAACTTTCTGGTTTCTTAGGTGTGTCAAGTTCCTACTGCTACATTCCACTTTTTTTTTTTTTTTTTTTTAAAGCAAAGGCAGAATTTGTGTTAACTGCCTTTATGCTTTGTTTAAAAGGCACAGAATTGACCTGAGTATCAAGGTTAACTTCCTTGTAATAAATTGGTATGGCTTTTCATTGAAACAGGTGCCAGAATAAGAACCAACTTAGACTAATAAGCAATGAACTTGCCCCTCAAGTTAACCCCTTTAACTGCCTTGTTTTTACCTGTTCTTTTTTCTAGATGTCAGTTTGCTGCTAATGGGTGTAAGTAAATTAGATGTCTTGTACAGAAAGCTTCTCCTCACTAAACTCTTCATCAGAGGATGGGGAAAGCCAGAGGATCTGAAGAGGTGACTTGTTTAAAAAAATAATAATAGCACAATCTGTCCTTGATATTAAAAGGAAACAAAACAAAATACCGGTGCTCTTCTGTGTGCTTTTTTGAAAAGTTATGCTGAAGTTTGTTATGGTCAGGATATCGTGTATTTCCATACTGAGGGAGTAACTGAATGTAGAAGTCTTAAAGGGATCTCTGAAATGTTTTTCTGTTTAAAGAGGATTTTCTTGAGAGAATGTGTGTGTCCAATCGCATTTTTCACTTTGGAATATCAACCAACCCATTTTAAGTAGTGGCTCTCAAAAGTCTTGACCAGGAAGAAAACTAGCTAATTCTTTCCAGAGGAACTGTTCTGTTTAACATGGAGATGATCTCGCTAACTTTCTGTAATGGCTGAATAAAAATGCATTTTAGAAGGGTAAGGTGTATTCAGAAATGTCTCTCATCCCCAAAGCAGTGAGCTCATTTCTAAGAGGAGATCTTACCAGCGGTTAGAAGTATCTGAAGGGCAATTGTCCAGAGCATGAGGCTGGGCACTTTTAGGTGGTGCCTAGCGAGGGGCAAGGGGCAGTGGGGTGATTTGGAACACAGGGAGTTCCATCTCAGTATGAGAAAAAAGCTGTTTTGTTGGGGTTTTTTTTGAGAGTGACAGAGCACTGGATCAGGCTGCCTAGAATGGTTGTGATCTCCTTCTTTGGAGATATTCAAGACCTGTCTGGAAGCTTTTATGTGTGACCTACTGTAGAGAACCTGCTTTAGCAGAGAGTTGGACTTGATGATCTCCAGAGGTCCCTTCCAACCCCTATGATGCTGTGATTCTTTTTTGGTGTCTTTAAAATAAGAGAATTACCAATGAATTTTTAAATATTTGTGTTTTTTTTTTTCAAATTGTGAGTAACACTTGAAAATTAAACACTTGCATATTTTAATTGTTATTTTTGTTTTAACCTTTAAGTGAATGAATATATTCTGTGTCATGTAGTACCCAAATAGGAAATGATAAATCTCTACTGCATAAGCTAATTTGTATGTGTTTGAAAATCAAGGAAGGAAACTTGTAACAAAAGCTTTGTTTGCTGTGGATAGTGATGGAGTCATGCAGGCAGTTTGTTTTTTCAATGTCATTCCTTAGTTGATTTATCTCAATAGCAGAACAAAATTGTTGAATTTTTAAAACATTAATGCAGTTCTGTTAGAATAAGCAAAAATGTGTAGTTCACTTGGTTGTGACTGCAGCATTTCTGTATTTTATGTTGTGCGTGTTTGGCTGAAATGGGATGTGTATCAAACCCCTTCCATGAAAACTTTTAGGTTGGAGGACTCAACTATGTTTCACTGACCCTGCTCCCCATCTTTTCTCCCCACTTAATGTGTGGGGTAACTTCTGACTAATTCTGCTGTTAGCTGTAAGGGGTCTGCAAGGGTAACCACTCGTGTCAAACAGAAATGATGGTATCAGCTACAGCTCCTCCTTTTCATGAGCTGGAGGAATGGCATGAAATCCAAAGCTGTAAGCAGTACATGGGACAGACTCGCTGGCCTGCTGATCTGAAAAGAGGAAGATCTTTTTCTTCGTGCTACCCCTGGGTGGATAGACAAGCTGTTCCCTGGCAGCTTGTCTTCACCCAGATGAAGAAAGAGAGAACACTGCCCCTTCACACCAGTGGGAGGAGAGAGTACACTCCCTAGCATGCTGATCATGCTGGGAATAGTGATAGTGTTTGTTTGTTTTCACTATGAAAATCGATTAGAACAATTTATGAGATTTCTTAGCGTTAACTGAGATTGACTGATGTCACTGGCTATCTTGACTTGGATGTAATCCGATGATTTGCTGAGCACACCATCGATGTGATGACCTGTATCCTAGTTCTTTATCCTCAGCTCATTAACAAGGGTTGAAATTCCTCAACATGTAAAAGGTTTTCCTTTCAATAGGTTTAGTATTCTCCAGGCTACAGAGAAAATATGTACATGTATTTTTGTAAGAATTAGTGTCAAGCAAAACATCTTTGCATTTAGTTCATCCTCCATACTCATGTCTCATATCTATACTCTTACTCTTAGAAATATTTAGTGCTATGTTCTGTGTAAGAAAAGCAGGGTATACAGGACAGCAATTTTGGTGTGGTGATAAACTGCTTTGTATGGTGGCTTTCTTTGCTTTTAGGAAGGTGAATGGGTTGTTCCTGTTGTACCATTCTTCTGTACTGGCCATCCAAATCTGCTGTTTTAGTTCTATCAGGTGATATATTTGCATGTGTTTAGAGACGTAAGAACTAGTGACTCCTAGCTCCACTAGGACTCTGCTGTGTTTCGCCCTTTCACCTTCTACCACAGTGCTAAGTTTTGTTTCATCTTCTGCAATACTTTGTAGCCCATTTAAGTAGCAGGAGGAAGCAGCTGGGTTTGCCCCTAAGCCTTCCCTTCCCCAGGCCGTGTGTACTTGGTTTCTTCATTCTTTTTTTCATACATGATGTGTTCCAGTTATTCTAGCAGCACTCCTCTCAACTGTGGAATATGTCAGCATGTCTTAAGGACAGTGGTCCCAGAACTGGGCCGAGTATTCCAGATGTCATTTTATGAGTGTTGAGTAGAGGGTGGTCTCTTCCTTTGACTTTCTGCCTGCCTTTTTGCTGAATGCTGAGGCAATACCAATGGTCTGCAGAGCTGCAAGGCCATGCTGCAAACTCATGTTCAGTTTGCTGACTGCCAGAAGCTCTATGCCCTTTCCTGCAGAGGTGGTACCTGGCTTATATTGTTGCACAGGTCTAGGTGCAAGACTTGGCAGTTGGATTGTGTTGAGCTTTAGGGTGTTTGCTGACTTGTTCTTCCAGCTTATCCAGGTGGCTTTGAAAGGTATCCGGCTATCAGCCTTACACTCCAATTTCTGTCATTTGTGAAATTCACTGAATATGGCTTGTGGCAGTTATACCTTGAGCCACTGACACTTTGACATTGGTGGTTTTACCTTTTCCCCCTTCTGTCCATATCTCCCCAGTATGTCTTCAAGGGTATGTAAGAGTACGGGGTTCCGATGTCTTCATTTTGCTCTGAAAAATGGCAGTAGTTTTTTAGGTATCAGGCTTAAAATACTATTTAAAAGCTGTGTAAGCTCTAGCAATATGTGGACTTTTTTTCCCCTTCTTTTTAACTTAAAAATGTTCTTGCAGACCTGTGCCATCATAGTCTGACTGATCTGTAAATGTTTGATATTTTTATAGATTTAATATTTTAAATAGACTAAAAATTGAATCTTTTCTTTACTTGTTTGTGTTCAACAGAATATTTGAATTCAGAAAGATTATTGGAAACAGGGAAAAATGCCAGACACTGGTTTCAAGAGATTACCCAGTCTTTATTGACAAGGTATGTAAATGCAAAGGATACAGTTAAACTAAATTTATTTGCCTAATGGTACAAAAATGTGAAATAAATTTAGTCCTTTCCAGGTTGATTTTAACGAGTAGAAGTTTGAATTTTGATATATGTGAATCTGTATTTTCCTGATGTTATTACAGGATGTTCTGCCTCTGGGACTGTCAATTGGGAACTTGCTTTAGGGACTGTGTGCACATAGGGTGATAAATACACTCCTGATGATACTCACTTTCCTTTTGCTCATCGGTGATTTTCTAGCTGGTGGCATGAAGTAACTTCACATGTAGTCCCTGTTGCTCTTATCAAGAAAAGGATACTAGAATTTTTCTGTGAAGGATGTAATAATGCTGCAGTGGCAAAATAAATGTAGTGTGAATTTCCAGACTGGTTAGAGAAAGGAGGCCCTATGGTTTCAAGTGAAATGCAGATGTAAGCAATCCTTGCCCTGAAGACTTTTCAACTGAGGTAGTGTGAATAAAGGGGTCAGAAAAAGCCAATAGTTCTTAAGTCAAATAAATACACTTGTGATCATTTATGTGGCAAGCTAAATGCTTTCACCACTAAAGTGAAATTAATAAACTTCACAATTAATTTTTGAGCCACTGTGAGTAGAATTAGGAGGCAATGGCAGAAAAGTAAAGCTTGGTTAGAAGGGGTAGGAGAGTGGGTGATCATATTTGTTATTAATAGAACTGAAGTAAGCTGTAAGATTGAAGTAGTGGTTGTACAGATGCATTTAAATTTTTTTCTCAGTCAATAACTGGGAGTGGAGAGCATCAGATTTTAATTGCTGAAACTCAAAAAACGCTCAAAACATGGTTTATATAATTGAAATATATGCTACTGGAGCAGCACAGCTTGAGATTATTCCTTGGTTCTTTACAAGGTCATTTATAAGGAAACATGAAAATATTTGGCTGTGTTGATAGATATGTATCATTCCTTCTGCAGGTTGAGGAACAATCAGACTGCAAAATCCTTGAGGGGCACTTCATTTCCCCTTTAGCTCATTATGTTCCGGGTATCCTGCCTGTGGAGTCTCTTGTAGCCAGGTAGGAGAAATCAAGTGTATTTCCTTTCAGAAGCTACTGCTGGAGAGAAATGAAAATGATACATCAGTGGTTTTACCATGAAGCCAATATGTCGCTACACCAATTATCGGCAAAATAAACTGCCTTTTTTTTTCCAGCCTACATGGTGGAATATGTTTTGACCTTAAAGTTTCAAGTAAAGTTATTTGTGTGATAGTTTAATCTGTGTGGATAACATACTTTGGTAGGGTGCTTTATTGTGAAGTATAGAGTCATATTTGAGAAAGATTGATTGGTTATATTCTGAAGCCAGAAAAAAAAGTAAGCATTACAAGAGATGGAAATTTTGCTGTAATTATGTGAGAATTTTTCTATGACTAGAGGAGAGCTTCTGTTATTACTAGTAATAACATGGAAAACTAAGTCTAATCTTAGCTGAGGGTGGATGGGTGGATGATGTAACTCTTTATGAAAAGCTTAAGCCACAGTGAGAAAAGTTAAAACCTGGGATTACCTGACTGCTTGTCACAGGATTTGATTCTGAAGTCTTGTGGGATTGGTTTGTTTGTTCTTGAGTGCAGAAATTATATTGCCCTTGACTATGGAATGTGTTTGTTTTCCGAACAAAGATGATGCTGGAAATCAAGGTTGCTAGAGTTTGGACAGAAGCTGTTTGTTTTATACAGAACAAGAGAAATTATTTTTATAAAAGAAACTCCTTACGTTGTATTTGAAGGAACCATTCAAATTCCATAAAAAAATATACTGTCTGTGTACAGATATAAGTGAATGTAATTGCTGCAAGAGAATCTGTTACACTTCGCCAAGCAAAAAAAAAGTACCCATTCAGAAAGCTTAATGATCTGTAATAGTCAAGATATTAGATTGCATTTTTGCTATTTTGGCACTAAAACTGCTTTGGAGTTGAGAAAAGGAGAGTGTAATTTTTAGGTCAAAACTAAAAGCAAACACTTTCATGGCATTTGTTTTCTTTTCCCCAAGCTTTGTTTACTATCTTAAAGGCTGAACATACAAATTCAAGCATCCCTAATTAGTACCATAACTGAAAATCTAGTGTACTGCCTGTTTTCTTGTGCTCCTTTGCACTGTGAGGCTATGTTATGCTATTGCATTGGGCAGTAGTACTGTTAGAGTTTTGAAACTTCCCTTAAAATTGTCATGCATCGCTTTTTTTGTTGTTTGTTTGTTGTTTTTTTCCTGAGTGTAATTCAGTTGTAGGTTTGTGCTCCATCTTGTGGAGAAAATATTAGTGCCTTAGAAATTATGTTTCTTTTGTCTCCCAATATGTTTCCTGTAACTAACTTCTGTGTAGCAGCAGAAGGCATTAAATGTTGTATAAAATTGTTTTGTGTTTGTGGGTTTTTTGAACTGTTTATATTTCATTTTAATGTAAACGTTTTGCTCACCTTATTCTTCGGTTTCAGTTGTTGTGCCCTCAGGAGAAAAACAGCAATATTGCCTAGGAGAGCTAGGCATTCATGTTCAGGCAGCTCTTTATCTGCAGTTTCACTTCTCTGCTCTGCACAATTTGAACTGTGATGATGAGGTAGTGGTCTGTTTTAGGAGCATGATCTTTCTGCTTGACTTCTTTTGGTCTCTGGAATTTATACTGTCATACTCTTGGATTTCTTTCTTTGCTGGATGTGTTTATGAAAAATGATATTGCTGTATCAACAGTTTGCCTGAGTGTGTCACAGAGTCTGTCGGTTTTTGTTTTTTAAACTTATTTATATGAAGCAACAGATACTCTTACTTTGATGTTTGTTTCTCGTAGGTTTCAGTTCATAACACCCAGAAGATGGAATAGCAAGCACAGACCTGTATGCATTCATTTAGCAGGCACTGGGGATCATGTAAGTAAAATGTGAAATGAATTAGTGAGAAAAATAAATATTGGATTTGATCTTCTTATGATTATGCATCTTACCTTTAGCACTTCTGGAGGAGGCGCACGTTAATGGCTCGTCCAATGATAAAAGAAGCCTGTATGGCTTCCCTATTGCTTGAAAATCCCTATTATATCCTTTTGTGGAAAACAGGATTCTGAGGCAGTTTTCAGCGTTTTCTCCACAGGGTAGGAACCCACAGAATGGGACTCGAGGTGGAGCACAGTATAACATGCTACTGTTCCACGTTCTGATTTTGCTGAAAACGTCTTCTACAACTCCTCGGTGCGGTCGTCAGAGTCAAAGTTCTGGCATTAATCTGTTTTCCCATTCATCATCAAGCTTACTAATGTGATTGATTAGTGTAGTCATGGCAGAGGGAAAACTGCGCGTTCTTTCTGCATCATACTGCATGACTTCTGGACGTATTAACGACAGAAAAGAATGTTATTTCCTTTGCTTTCCTTTTTCAAATGCTTATGAGAAATTTTATCTTGGCATTTAAGATCTGTTTTGGAATAAGAGTTTCCATCAACTCATCAGCAACCTTTGGAACAATGTTACCTCGTTTCGTTACATAGAATCTCAGGTTATACTTTCTGTATACCCGCATAGCTGATAGAAGTAAAACCTAATGTTATAAATTACATAATCCAATGGTATTTAATGTGATTTACTTCCAGTTAAACATTTGGAATTTAAATTCCAAATTATAATTAATCACTGTGCTATTTATGCATGTGATTTATTTTTTATTTTCATTGCCAATTTTTATGTAGACAATTCTTACTTTCCTTAACTTGAGACTTCTACATGGCTGTAGAAAACCTAAGGATCAAATGTAAGTATTGCAAAATACAGTCTTGTCAAAATACTACTTTTTTTTTTTTTTTTTTTCATTCAGGAAGCTCAAATGAATATAAACTTTGTGAGCATGTTGAGAAAAATGAAATCCCAAACATCCTGTTAGCATAAAATCATCAGCCTTTGTTGGACTACTTCTGTTTGTGTTAGGAGATCACTGTGATTGTGAAAGTTTGCATAAGATGGCATTGCAGTGTAAGAATGAGACAAGTGTGAATGCAAGCAACAGTTTGTTTTCCTGATCAGCTACTGTATTTGTCTGCACGCTGCAGTTATTTCAGTCAAATATGAGTTTGTTCAGATAGTTGATCTTGTTATTTTCGTATCTCAGCTTTACCTTTTTCTAGATATTTTGAAAGGACCACAGTAAGACATAATGAGTTGCTCGTTTGTTAGCCTGTTCAAAGAACGCAATGAGAAAATTCTAATTCCAGAAATGGTTTCTAAGTTTATTTTCAAAGCAGGTGCAGAACTTTATTTTGACATAAGAACCAATTTTTTTAAGGTAAAAACCAAAAGAAAACACAAAATTGCCAGCTGATTGTTATAAAAACTACTTTTTTAAGCAGGAAAAACACTTTTAAAAATATATATCGCATTTAGAGGTATAAGATTATAGGAGAGGGACAAGAGTATGTGTGCTGGAAGAGGTCGAGGTTTGTTTTTGTTTTTCCTTGTAGTTCAGTAATTGATGCAGAAAAGTAATTTGGTGAGGATATTTCTAACTCCTTTTTCTATTGTCCTAGCTTGACAGCTTAGTAGACAAGGATTCTCTGAAAGGCAAGTGCTCAGTCAAATACCCCAAGCAATATCTGTCAGTCTTCAATACAAGCTTACAAAGCAGCAGCAGTGTTTTTAGTTAACGCAGTAGTAACAGTGCTTAGTAAATACAGCAGCTATGGAGGATTGATGAATCTTTCATAACAAAGCTGTCAGAAGGAATTACGTTAGCTGCTCTGCAGCAACTGCATTCATTTCTCCTGTGACTAGCACAATATATTTCTTTCTCCTTATTTAGAGGTATGTTAATTGCTCTGTAAAATACTTTCATTTTTTGAGAGTTCCTCTGATGGTTCAGCTGAATAGCTTTCTCCTTTTTGTTTCCTTTGTTTTGATGCTTTAGAGTACACTACATGAATTTCTCAGTACCGTGACAGATTTCCCACTTTACAGTTTCATTCTTACAATAACACTGCTGAGTTCTTCCAAAGCTGGCATACTGATTGCTCTTCAAATGTTGTGTGCAATTTTTCAGTGTTGTGAAACAGGTAAATAAGAGGAGGAAAAGGGAAAAAAAGGATTTTTTTTCTGCGTTTGAGATAGTATATGCGTAGGATTGAACTGCTCTGATTCTATTTCTAAAATACCCATTATGACTTGACAGCACAGAAGATTACTGCTAATGAGATTCTAACGTTGCTAATACTTGTTTCTAAACGACCAGGTGGTGAGTGATGTTAGAAGCTTAGCAGGTGTCTGATCCTGGTCCTTGTTTAGAAAAATTGCCAGAGAATCTGGACTTGCTTCTTATGTTGAATCAACAGGAGTTAAGATCCAAAATTCTCTGGGAATGTGATGAGGCTTTGTATGAAAGTATGCATAGAGTGATGACAGATGTCAAAATCTAATCTTAGAAAATAAATCCTGTCTTTTCCTTTTCTGGGGAGAAAAGACGGTCATGTTTAAAAAATGTCTCGGACCTGTTTGTGATGGGAGGAGCTCTTGTTCTAGAATCGGCAGCTCTTTTGCACTGGCTAGAGAGAGAAGGCTATGGACCGCTAGGGATGACTGGAATATCCATGGGAGGACATGTAAGCTTTCATATTTCCTGTTTAGTACTTTTTTTTCACTTCTCATTTGATCTTTTAGCACATGGGAATAATTTGTTTTATTTGTTTCATGAGCGAATTATCCTCGCGCCTCAGGGATCTGAGCTGAGGGCTTTTGGCACATAAACTGTTTTTACAGAATGCATCCTGTGGGCTTTCTATGAATAACCTTTCCTAACCTGTGTGAAGGAGCATTTCTACTTGTTTTTAACCTTTCCTCTCTGAAGGACTTGAAAATAAATATCAAGAGTCACGAGAAAAATCGTCAGCAATTCTCATGCTCAGTAGTCCTGAATTAGTATAATCTTTGGTAAATACTGACAAATCATAGCAACCTTGGTCAGCCATCTCCTCTGAGGCTTCGTATGAATATCTTCTCATGTAGTTGTTTTTTATCCCAATGGGGAAAAAAAATCTTTTTTGAAAGAAGATCCATATTGATCAATTGCTTGTTTAACTTCCTTTCCTCCATTCTTCTCAAAGTTGTTTTTGAATGCATTGGGTGAAATGCATTCTCTCTACAGAGGTACCGTAACTACCATAACTTTCGTGACTTCTGGTGTTGGGTCTGTTCTCAATGTTTTTCCTCATCTTTGATATGTATTAGTGAGGATTTCTGGAGTGTGGTGGGTAACATTTTTTATGTGACTGTGCATGTTCCAACTCAAACAGCTGTGTATTCACAGTAAGATGCTTGAAATCCTAATGCACAGTATTACTCTTGTCTCCACAGATGCATGTTGCTCTGAAATACATGTATAGAAAGCCAATTAAAACAACGTACCTCCATTTTGATGATTCTTTTCAGTTTATTTCTTGTCAAGAACTAATAGATAATTTCAATGATAGTGTCTACTGAAAGAAAAATAATTTTCCTCCAAAGCACAATTTTACAACTCTAAATGTCATGCATGTTTAAAATACCTTACGTTCACATAAATATCATCCTGATGAGACAACTTCTGTGTTAGACGTATCTCCCCTGTCTTATTTATAAGCTGGATTGTCATTATTAAACGGATGTGTCCTCTGTTAGCAGCAGGCTACTACTTAGGCTTCTAGGTGAATACTGTAGGAATGACAGAGTGCTGTATCCCATACCAGTTGTCATATGCAGCATGAGGATAGCAAGAGGCAAGATCAGAGAAAGTAAGCTTGGAATATTTTTCATTAGTCCAGAAGCATACATTTTTGACTCGTTCTAACAAATCTGAAACAGTCTTTAGAATGCATTTTGTAACTGAAAGGAAATAGCACTAATTCAGTTCTAATGATGGAGAGAGCTGGAACTAAGGACAAAGACATCTGGCTTTCTGACTATTGTAGCATATGTATGTGATGCTTCTGTCCCTTTTTATTATTAAAAATAATTTGAATAAAATTATGTAAGTTGTATAAGTCTACTTACTAGAATGTCTAGGACAAACATGGGATATTTTGTAGGAGGGATTTTACATTGCTTAGTATGTTGAGCTTTTCTCCAATATTTCTGACATGATCAGAATAGTTACCAAAACATGTCCTGATTTAAAAACAATAATTTAGATTTTGAAGGACAGGAAAACAGTCCCATTAACATACTGAATTACTTCTCGTCTATGTTTTGTTTCTAGAATATAAATTCAAAAGTGTGAAACTTTAAATAGTTCTTCGTATAGATTGCTTTAGTTTTGCCTTGAAATAAGCTTGCGAGAGCCTGATGACAAGGCTGCGTAAAGTTTGTCATTGTTTGAAATAACTGTAAGAACAAATACCCCATCCAGAATTCTTGTGGTTACAAATTGTTCATGTGTGAAATTAATCCTGTCCACAGCAATATTTGTTACTGGGGAAATCACTGAAGAGCAGACTGAACCTTCTGAATTCCAAAGATGTGGAAGGATATCCAATTGCCCCAGTCCTTAAGCGCTTTGGTGGTACTTATTTTATGCTCTATAAACAAATAAATTGGAGGTGAGACAGTTCTTAAAATACCTTCAAAAATATTATGAATTTAGGATTAAAATATATAATAACTGTGTTTAATTCTAGATGGCTTCCCTGGCAGTGACAAATTGGCCTAAACCATTGCCATTGATTCCATGTCTTTCGTGGTCAACAGCTTCTGCAGTCTTCACTACGGTAATTGCCCAATATTTTTATATTAATATAGTGAAATGTGATCAGATACACGAGGTAAAATGTTTGGGTTGGCTACATTTGCCTTTGTTGTTAGGCATTTCATTGCCTTCTGGCCTTTATTAATAACTAGTGGCAAAAAGCTTAAGATACACCAAGTGATGCGAAGACAGCTTTGAGCTACTTCACTGGGTCATGTCCTAAATGAAGGGAAAGGGCTGATATGTGGCACAGTGATTGCAGTCCTTTTCTGAATGTGGAAGGGTGAGGAAGGAAACTGAAAACTTTTTCTGGTCAAAGCCTGGCTTAAATAGCTGGATGATAATGTAGTCACTGTTTTTGCTACTTCTACCGGGTAAGTGATTTAATAGACTGACATTCATAGTCCTCTCTGGTTTAGTTCAGTCTAAATATGTGTTTTATTATTTTTATTTCTTTGAGGAGAAATGTATTTCCGTGTGTGTTTGCTGTATTGTATACAGGTTGTATGTCCTGTGTGTTTGCTTATGATGCATGCTTAAAAGCTTCCAGTAATTCTAAGGGTTGTCTGGAAACTTAAGCCAGAACTTCACTGGAAAAATCAAATCCCAGGAACAAATCAATTTTCTTTGCATGTCATTATTTTAGAACAGTCTTTGGCTTTTGCTTGTGTACTAGACTCTTGTGTTTATAACTTCAGGGTGTGCTGAGTAAGGCAGTGAACTGGAGAGAGCTTGAGAAACAATATTATACACAAACTGTTTACGAAGAAGAAATCATTCAAATGCTTGAATACTGTGGAGTAAGTATAGTTTATTTTCACTATTTGCAAATGTTTACATGTGCCTAATATTTTAGTTAATAATACCTGTTAAGTGTAGCACTTACTACAGAGTTAATGCAATCCATAGTGGTAAATGTATTCAGTCAAAACATGGAAAATACAGGTAATTCATCCCAGTAAATGGCTTTGTAGTCTGGAAAGCTGTTAGTCTGACACATCTAGTGATGAATTTTTGTCCTTTGAATTTGGAATTGCTTCCAAATACTCAATTTGAATAGACTAAGCAGAGGAAAAAAAGAAAGAAAGAGAGACACATTACAGGAAGTTCAGCTTATGACATCCTATTATTTGGAGGAGGTAAATTTGTAGATTTTTCAGATTTTTTTAAAATCAAACATCAAATCTGGTCAAATATATTTCTTGCTATTGCCTATTTTCCTTTTTCTGTTTAAAAAAACAAAAACAAAAACCACTGTTTACTTCTGGCTACTTTTTTAAAAAGACAGTACTACTGTTTTGAGAGACACAAACCTGAGAAAAGCATAGGTTTTATGATTTATTTGCTCAGAATTGTAAGCTTGCCAAACTGTAGTCATGAATTCAGAGTTTAATGCAGAATTTAAAAGAGACAAACGTTATTCTTGTGTATTGCTGTAGGTACTTCCTTGAGCTGACAAATGTAGAATTAAAATATCAAAAGGCCATGGCAATTGGGATTTAATTCACTGTGTGACATGTAGACTGAAAATAGCAAGTACTGCCAGCAGTTCTCTTTGCCTCCTTTTTACTGAATATTGTTATTGTGTTGATTTGAAGACTAACATGAACTAGCTGAGGTAAACGAGTCCCTTAATAAATGACTTGTCTTTGTTTAGACAGATTCTTTCAAAATGGGACAAGATTTTGTTAAAAACTTTCCTGACAATGTGGATCGTCTGGAGGACATAGATGTGGCTTCCAGAATGTTCAGCTTTGATTCATCAAAGAAGACTGAGTCTAAAGAAGCTGTCCACAGCTTTACCACAAGTAGAAGTCCTCTAAGTGCCTCATCAGAAAGACTTCTAATGCAAGATGCTCCTAAAATTCAGTGCATGAATCAAACGTTTTCAACCAGCAGCAATAAAAACTTAACCATACAACAGGGACACAGGATAAATAATAGAACGAAGAGTGACACTTTACAGAGAGAATCATTAAGGTTCATGAAAGGAGTAATGGATGAATGTACTCATGTAGCTAACTTCTCAGGTATGTATTTATTTGTTTCAATATGGAGTTGGGAAAACTAAATTAGAATACTATGCAAGGAAAGGTATTCTCTGATTGGGCAAGCCTTCTGTCACTTAGATGGAGTATGAAAGCATTCTGAGTCTTGTTCTGTAAAATCTATTTAACACTCAATTTCCTGGTGATTGGTTTGTTTCTTAAAGACCAAATGATGATCAAGTCAGTTGAAAATGTGCCTTTCTGTATCTGCACCTTTTTTTCTGTGCCGTGCTGTGGCTATTTTCAGATATGACATAGTGCTCATTCATATTATTTAAAAGAGCAAAGTGTTTATGTGATATGACTAATATCTAGATCTAATTCATCTGCTGTGTCCTGCTAGTAAGGTTTTTTCATGCAGATTAAATTAAATCGAATTGGGCAGAAACCTAGTATTGACTTCAGTCAGAAAGTAGCCTACATAGATGAAAGCTAAACTTGAATGATACCTGAAGACAAATGAGACCCGTAAGGAATAAACCCTGGTCCTTCTGGGATGATGCAGTTTGAATATAGCATTTCCCAAGACAAGTACAGCATATAGAGGGAATTGTAGCCCAGTAAGTCTTAAATCTGATGAAGCCGAATTTGGTATCTAGAAAAAATCACTTTTAATGGTCTGCTTGCAGGCAGTGCAAACAAGTGATTTCTTCCTAGTACTGGTTGAGGGAGTTCAGTTGAGATGAAGATTTGGAATGGCTTTTGTAGACAGTCTGTGAAGACAGAATGGTTCTACTGTGCATATACCAAGTACTCAAACATGTATCAGAAAGTGCTTCAATTTCTGACAGGTTTCACCTCAGTTTTGTAATTCTGGCATTCATTGCCCCTCTGCCAAATGTAAATAGTTAAAATAATAATAATAATATTTTTTAAAATCAAATATTTATACTTAAAATAGATATGTTAAAAAGAAAAAAAAAAAAAAAGAAAATTAAAGTTTTATTCTAATTGCAGATGTTCTTTTATATCTAATCACTTATCCAGGTATCACTTAGCTAAAGTACTGACCTTTCTTGAAATTTAAGAGGATGTGTGATCTCAGTGAGCTTGTTAAGGTGATGTAGTCCTTTGTCCCAGTTGATGCTCTGGGAGATACTGCATCCCTTGCCAGGGTATGCTTGACATATATCTGTAGAGGAGATCTGAAAATCCACCTAATGTTCGGATTTCATGGAAAATGGAAGGAAAAGATGGGATCTACCTTAACACTGTGTACCTTCTATACATCATTTACTATATATGAAAGGAAAGGGTCTAAAGTTTTTTGTGACCCTCCCCTTGCAAATGCCTTAGTTTGTCCCTATCTGCCATACCACATGTATTTTTCTGAAGAGAGTGGTGGTCTGTGCTCTACTTCTGTGTTAATTTTCTAAACAACCTGTTAGTATTATTCCAATTGATAATCAGATTGGTGCAATTGTGGTGATAAGTAGTAAGTCTGTACAACAATATGTTAGGATCTTCATGCTACAAACAAAAGAAAAAAAAAAGTAGGAAACAGGAAAAAAAACATGCTGCACTTGCTGTCTGACTTCTAATACTGAAAGTTTTTTTTGTTTTGTTTTGTTTTAGTTTTTTCCCCTCTTTGAGGGAAAAATAATACAAAGCTTCTACTCTATTGAATTCCAGATATCTTCTAGTTATTTTCCCTGGGCAAGGGGGGTAGCTCTCTTAGAACTGACCTGCATGCTATAGAGTCTTGTCTTTAAGGAGAAAGACAATTTTCTTCTACTGTAGCATCAAAAATTGCTGGAGACATTAAAAATATAATTTGACTAAAGGTTACTGGTATTTTTTTAGTAATTGGGAGCATATTGAAGCAGAAATCTTCAGCTAAAGTATTTCTGTCATTTTCTAATCTTAGATTAATTCAATTTTGAGTTGTTTTTCTTTAGTTCCAGTTGACCCCAGTTTAATCATAGTTGTGCAAGCTAAGGAGGATGCGTATATTCCTCGAACTGGAGTGCGCAGTCTGCAAGAAATCTGGCCCGGATGTGAAATCAGGTATCTGAATGGAGGTCATGTCAGTGCCTACCTCTTCAAACAAGGACTCTTTAGGTAAGGTAGATAGGGAATCATAAAAATAATACAGAACTTAAAACCATACTTTTGAGATATCGCTTTACTTCTAACAAACGAGTCTATAATTAAAGCAACAAATACCAAATACTGCTTGTGAGATCAAATGATGGGATCCTAGAGAATGTCACAATTCTGTTCTGTGAGTGAGGATGATGTGTAATATATCTCAAATCATTCACTAAGCCTTTGACAATAGGATCATCATTATTGCTCTTGCTTTCCTATAGTTCTTCATTTGTTTCCTGGACACCAGAAAGTACTTTCTGAGCAGTGACCTCTTACGTTGTGTTACACAGCTGTTGCCTTTTTGCAAGTGTTATCTTCTGTGAGTAAATAGTTGAAGAATTAAGACATAAGCTTGATTGCAGATGAGTGGTACGTGCACAAAGTCTTGCCTTAATTGTACTAGGCGTCGACTTTTTAGAGTCAGTTACATAAATCAGTTATAAAAATGCATTTATAAACCTGCAGTTCCTTAGTTTTGAAAAGGTAAATACTTGTGGTGTTAATTTCAAAATGTAAGAAATTAGCAACTGAGTATACATCCCATTTAGGCCCATTTAGGAAGTCTAGGCAACATCAGAAAGGAATAGCAGAATGCCAGGTCAACATATGTGAACTCCCAGCTTACTGCTGTTTTAAACCATCACCCTCAAAAATAATTTATGTTGTATGTCTGACGTACTTCCTGACATGTTTGAATATAAAAATCCTCATCAATTAAAACTTGCATTCCTGTGAAAGGTGGGTAAGTAGTCTGGTTAACTTGTGAAACATATTACTAGATTGAAGTGAGATATAAATGAAGGAAAAAATGCCATATTTTTACTGAATGCTATTTTCAAGTTGTGGTGATATGCTTAATTTTGAAATAAATGCAAATCAGCAGTTTTGTCTATTGTTTCCTAAATTATACAAGTGATCTACAATTAACTTGTTTCTTCCTGCTTTAGGCAAGCAATTTATGATGCATTTGACCGCTTTCTTCAGAAATATGCTGTTTAACAATTTTCGTCATGGATTCAAACTGATCTCATTTTATTTCCCGTTATTGGAACTCATCTTTGGAAAACAAGCCTCTTGCAATGTTAAGTAGTTGATGGTCAGTTAATTTGAATGTTGTGGATAACGAATACAAAAAATGATCAAGTCCCAGTATTACTTTTCTTTCAACCAAGTGCCATTCTGACACGCTTCAGCTTTACTTGTGAAGAGCAATGGTAGCATTTGTTAGTGCATGAATGGTTCATGTATTTCTTACTTTATTGTGTTATGTATAAAGCCTGAGTAAATTCTTATTTGTGTATATGTTGAAAACAGACCGATTTAAATATTGATAGAACATAAAATTTGCTGTAGGGCTAAGATGCTGTCTTATGTTTAGTGTATTTACAGTTTGTTCCAGCTACCATGTTTTCCTCTTGCTTCCCTGACACTTGCTATTCCTACTGCATTTTGAAATGGCTTGGCCAGCACTCTGCCTCTTGTGTTTGTCACTGATTTTCTCTTATTATCAATTGAAAATGAACTACAGTGGATGAGGCAGAATTAAATCTTACGAAAAGCTTTCAAAACCTGAATGAAGGGTGAGGGAGACATTTTAATTCAATGCATCCATTAGATTTTTCTGCTGTTTATAATTAAATGGTGCCATTCCGGAAGACTCATGTAGCTATTCATTGTTTTTACAGAACTGGAATAACTCTAAATGGAGTGTCCAGTAATTCATTTTTTACATACCTTCAATTGGATAATGAAGATTTTTCTAGTAGATTTTGTAAAAAAAAATTGCTAAAGGGAATAATAATGTAATAACTTTTATTGATAAACAGTGGCAGAAAGAGTCTGATTCTAAGCAGATAAACCAACAGCAGATTATATGGTGCTATAAACATCTCCTTGAAAGCAGGGGTCCTTTTTAAAAAGCATTCAGTGCTGATATGCAAAAACACATTGTAATTGTTAAGAACTTATGTGAGACTAAGGGTTATCAAAACAGTCACATGAACTTCTTGTTTTTTGGAAGTTTTTTTAACCGACCTTTAAAAAAGAAAAAGGTAGGGTTAGGAACACATTTAAGTAAATCCCATCTGTTGCTGCTTCTTTTGGGATCAAAAATGCCAACAAATTAAAGTGAAATTAAAGGTCATCATGAATCAGCCGTGTGTGGTAGCTGTCCATATCCTATATAGTGGTAATGTCCTGCATCGTTCTTTTAAAGCAAGTTTGCAGGGAAGTTGAAAGCCAAAGCGCTTCAATATTAATTTTAGTACTGTAATGGCTGATGTTACACAGAAACTAACAGAAAAATCCAGGTATTTCTTGAGATACGTGACTTACATATCTTTCAAATCATACGCCTTATTGATTTCCATGGTTACCATAATGGTTTTTAATAGTGCATGAAGCAATCAAAGCTCTGTTTGTTCCAGTGTATTATCTTGAATTTCAGTCTGGCAGACAGAACTGATAACTGCTAGTATTGCTGGTCAGATAAACTGAGATAAAACCGAATGCAGCAATTTGTGAAAACCAAAGACAGTTAACATCAAAATGTACTGAAAATTCACAAGAAGTGATATTCTGTTGGAAGTTAAATTGTTTCAGGTGTTTTTATCATCATTTCTGTTAGGCATTGTTGTTTTTTTATCTGTACTGGAAGCGGGTGTAAAGTGACTAGCATGTTTCAAATTCTTAAAATACTGAATTTTGGAAGATTGGGAATGAAATATGTAAGCTCTGAATTTTAAAATTAAATACTTGAATACTAAACTGAAAGTTTTATGGGTTTTACCTTGATAACTAAATCACCAGTCAACTAAGGATGTTTTACAAGAAGGCTGTCGGCTGTTCACCAAATCTTTTGCATCTCCATGTGTGGCCACATTTAAATGTATTTATGTGCTTTGTCCTGTTTCTGTTGCAGCTGTGAAAGAAAGGGAGATAACTGGTGGCAAGGGACAGGGAGTGAATAAATGGAAGAGGAAAAAGATTATTTTATAAGGCCAGGACTAAGCTTAAAAAATCAACTTCTCTACACTACAAATGTAACATGCCAACATAAATATTTCTAAAGTGTACGATACTAGGAATTACACAACTGATGGGAACGTGACATCCTGAGGTTAGTGTTCTGATGATGTTATTAATGAGCTGAACTTTCCAAAAGGGCATACTATGCAATGAAGCAGATATGTATGAATGTAACTCCTGTTTCTGAGAAAGGCTTTTGAAAGTAGTCAAGGACTAGTCTCCAACAATTGTAAATCACACTTTGCTATGTAACTAAAGCAGTGTTGCCAAATAATAGAGTACAGTAAGGAACGTAGAAAAGATTTCTCACGTTAAAAAAAAAAAAAGGAAATTATGTATGTTGTTCATGTCTGCCAGATATCAAACACAGGAGGCCATCAGCTGGTCTGTGTAGGTGAGAAAATTGATGTATTGGTGTTTTAATTTTAGGAAAATTGGCTTTTAAAAGTAAATTCTGAGTCCTAAGAAAGTATTATTAGCAAACCATTTTTGATGTTAAGTGTGAATGTGATATTTGATCCAGAAATTGCTTGAGAAAAATATTGGAAAAGGTTCCCGCAATAAATCCCAGTGGCAGGTAAGCCATTCTGCATATCTTAAACTCCCTGTAAAACTGACCTTGGTCATTTTTCAATGTTATGTTTTTCAGTAAAAATCCTACAGAATTGTTGCATGGTGTTCTTTTCCCTTGTGAACACAAATTCAGAGTAACTCTCACTGTCACCCTTTAATTCCTGAATATTCCTTCTAGCACTGTAACATAAGAAGAGTGCTTAATCTAAGGCACAAGATAAAGGCTTTACATAATAAACAATGTAACTGCTTTCATGTTCTTCTACATTCAGCTCCTATCTGTCAGCTAATTAAGATATCGCTGTGAGTCTAATTTTAGGCTTCTCCATGGCTTCATTGAACTTTTTCCTGCTTGTTCCTGTGCTCCACAGAAGGGTGTGCTGTGCTGTAATGGACTCAGAATGTATTGTAGAATTGTGCAAAAGTAATTGTTGATGGTTGTTCTTCCATCTGTGTGGGGGAAGGCAGAGTTGAGCTGGTGGAGTGTTGTTCAAGAGGAGAAAGGAGGTGGCTTCAGCAGCAGCAGTAGTCCCTCAGACAGATGAGAATATCGCACGCGAGCTGAAAGGCTGCTTTGGACAGATAGCTGTGCATGTTACTGGCCTTTCATTCCTGAGGCTTGCAGATGTTTATATACAAAGAAAAAGAAAACACTGGAAAACTGTTGTGCCTTGCTCTGTGGAACTGGAGCAGTCAATCTAACTGCAGTTTGCCAGCTGTGTCCAGCAACCAAGGCACAATTGTGTTGCAGTGTTCAGTTATGGTGGCTAAGAATTGAAGACACTAGTAACACCTCAGCATGCTTAGATTGACAAAATGTGAGGGGGACAAATGGTGTGGGAAGTGGGCTTTGCAGTTGGAAGAAGAAGCTTTGAACTGTGTCTAACCAGCGTCAAATAGAGCTGTAATTTTTCTTCTGAAGTCCAAAAAATGCCCCTGAAACGTGACCACTGAGCTTGTGTTGTAGCAAAGGTAAATCATTTGTGTTGTGTTACTCTTAAAAGTCGAAACACCCTTTCATGGCAAAAAGACATCTTCGCACCAAGTAATGGAGCCTGACTTTGTCTTAATAGAATGCAATATAAACTGAAATGGATACTCTTTAAATAGCAGATTTTATTATAAAGATTCTTGCTGTGATATATTTGCTTTGGGAGACACTACGTATTTTTATTAATATTTTTATTTTGTCTTGTCACTTTTCTTTGTACATGTTGATTGTAATTACAGTTGGTGGGGCAGGGAGCTTTCTTTATCTTAAGTTGTCAGGTTCTGTGTCAGCTTGGCTGTAATGATAAGTTACTAAGTGTTGAAGGAAAGTTTGTATAGTCTGTAGGCATGTCATTCCCCATGCAAAACCATGACATGAGTAAAATGCTGTTCTGTAATGCTACCATGTTACTGCTCCCCTGCCCAGCTTTCCTCCACCTCTTAACCGATTTCCTGCTTTTCCCTGGTCTTCAGGTGCCAGTACTGCAGTTCCTCATGTCCTGGCTGCCCTACAGACCTGCTGCCTTCTCCCCAACACTTATAGAAGGAAAAGGAAGCAGGAGGGGTGTGCTGTTCTACCAGTGACTAGGTAGGGCTCTACGCTTTCCTGTTGCTCTGGCAGTGGTCTTCAATGCCTCTGTCTAACCTCTTACTTTGGAACAGCAAATAATTGCAAATTGTTCTGAACTGACAGTGTGGGAAATACTCCTCAGGAGCATAGAGGTAAATGTATGCGGATAATGCTCTTAGGCACTGGCAATTTCAAATTATTTCAAATGAATTTGTCACTGTGATATGCTATTGGCATGTCCTTGCCTTGTGAATGTTGTGCACCTGAAGAAGCTGAGCTCTTGCTAAGAAAAATGCTTCTAGGTGTAGCAAGTTTTCAAACCACTTTAACTGCATTTTTTTTTTTTTTTTGCTATTGATTAAAAATGAAGAAAAATGACACGTCACTTGTACAGAAAGTGCTTCAGAAGCATTTGTATATGTAGTGCTAGGAAAGATCTCACTTATTTCCAATGTTTTCAGCTTAAATCTGCACTGACAGCAATGTGTGCTAAGTTTGGCAAGATTTGTATCTACATAACCTCAGTAAAGCAGAGTAATGGTGTCTCAAATGAGAGGTGTTTCCACCGAGGCAAAACTCCAGAAATTTGATTATTTGTAACGTTCCTTTTAAAAGTACATAAGTAGCTTCGTAAGGAATTGTTTTCAGACCTTTATCGTTTCATACGATCACGTAATTAAGGGAGGGAAAGGCCTGTGAAACCCCACGTGCCCCACCCGTTAAACTCGAGACGTGACCCCGCGGCCAGATGAGCACCGCTGCCTCCCGGGCCACGCGCCTCGCGCTCAGTCCGGTGGCGCAGCGCAGCCTGATCGGCCGCTTTCGAGCAGCGCTGCAACGCGCGTCCCATCTAACTCAGCTTTTAATGCGGTTTCCGAGGCGGGCCCCGGTCCCGAGTAAAGCGAAGCGCTCCCGGCCGCCTTTCCTGTCGCTGCGCGTGGCGCCGAACCGCTTTGTGCCGGCCGGCCGCTTGGCGCGTCCCCCCGAAGTCCGGGGCGCGGCGCGGCCCTTGTGAGCTCACCGCGCCGCCGGGGCGGCCGCCGCCCTCCGAGCCGGCGGCTGGTAGCGAGCGGCCTCTTTCGCTCCTCCTCTCCTGCCCCCGCCGCGGTCGCCGGCGGAGGGGCCGCCGGAGCTGACAGGGGAGCCCCGGGAGGCGGGGCGGAGCGGCGGCGGCCGGGGGAGGAGAGACGGCCGCCCCGCCTCGGCGCCCCGCCGCCTTCCCCCGAGGGCCGCTCGCGGCGGCCGGTAGGGCATGTCCACCGCGCAGGTGTCCGCCGCGCCCGCCGAGCCCCCGGCTTGGGGCGCCGAGGGCCGAGACGGGCCGGCGGAAGGGGCCCGGCAGAGAGAGGCCGGTTTGCTCGGCGGGAATGAGGCCGCGGAGAGCGGCGGCCGGCGGGAGCCCGAGCCCGACGAGCGGCGGCGGCCGGCGGCGGCCGAAGCCCCTCCGCCCAAGGAGAACCCATGGACGAAGCGCAGAGCCGCGCAGGACGGCGCGGCCGACGGGCAGCACGCGCTGTGGGACCCAGGTGCGGGGCGAGGTGGCGGGCCGGGCGAGGGGGTGGGCCGGGCGGGCGGGGTGCTGGCCGGCGCCGTGAGTCGCTTTCGGTTCCGCGGAAACACCGCGTGTGTCGGGGAGAGCGCGTCCCGTCCAGTCCCGTCCTTTCCCTCCTCCCCCGGCTCCGCTTTCCGCCGCGCTGCACGCGGCCGGCCCCGAGAGCTTCTACATACATGGGCACGGCGGCTCGGGGGAAGGCTGCGGCCGCTGCAGGCCCAGTGCCGCGAGCGGAACGCTGAGCCGCCCGTGCGGTGCTGCTGACATGTAGGAGCGTTGCTGAATCCCCGCTGCTTTCCTGTAGGTCAGCTCTTTGTTTCTGTTTTGCTTTGGTTAGTTGTTTTGTTTTATTTTGTTTTTACCTATTTATACAATTTCCCCGTTTGGTTCGCTCCTGAGTTTTGCTTTTTAGAAGGTTGGGCTTGCGAAGGCCTTAGTATTAACAGCTGTAGTCAGCTCGCTCGTGCTGACGGTTCAGGCTGCTTCTGAGGGAAGAGATGGAGACCAAGATGGGCAGCTTGGTATAATTTGCTGGCCTTTAATTACCCCAGATGTAAAATAAAGCTACGTGAGAGCTCCATACGGACCGCGGGCTGCAGACCTGGCTGAAATTGCCCAGCATTAGCTTTGGGCCCCTGTGGAGTTCCTTGAAGTCAGCACTTCTTGGAGTGCTGCTGTCAGCCTGAAGCAGCTGCCAGCCTCACATATTTAGCCCGGCGTGTGCTCCTTGTGCTCTGGCCTGTGCTCCTGAGGGCTCCTGACAGCCCCACTTGTGTTCTCCTGGTCTCTTTTATCCTGGAATTAATTCTGTGCTTCCCTCACGAAGAGAAATGTATCCCTTGACAGTTTCAAGCAGACATACGCAGGCAGACAGAAATGCTCTCCAGACTACAGAACTTTTACTAAAATGAAGATGAAACCTTTTGGCAGCACGTGTGCCATCAGTACCATGGGGCTGTGCTGTCTGTGTGTACTGACGCACTCGTAAATGCCGACTTAGCGTCCCAGTGCTGTGCTGCAGCTGCAGTCCTGCCCGTACATGACAGGGAGCTC